GGAGAAATCAAAGTCGAAATATTCTGACAAGTGTCCATAACTGTCAAAGAATTCTCCTTTATTTTTTGATTCCATGTATACAGCTAGCCAATGCTTTCCAGGTAGGTTGCTATTATCTGTATTTACAATAAAACCGGTAGGCCACTTTTGTATGTTTGTTGGTATCTGATCGCTCGCGTAGACACCTATAATCATTTTTCTCATCGCAGGATCACATTCGATAGCACATCGAAGTTGATGTGTGTTCATGACTGTGCAATAATGTCTCTAGCAGCGTTGATTTCAAAATATCCTGGATATTCAGCATAGATGATACAGGTGATTGTTTCTGTGAGAGCAGTTCCGAATGTGGCTTCTAATCTTACGTTACCCTGCTTTAATAGGGTAAGGTATTGACTATCTTGAAATATGGGTTCCAAATTGAATGTGTGTACAGTGCATAACCGTTGATCAATATTCCATCCACTATCATTCAACCATTTTCCACTGGTTTTAAACATATTTGCTCGAACGGGAATGGTAGTCTCACCGCCTGTCGAGGAATAGTTCAATTTTTTTGTTTTACCAGTTCCAACTAAATAAATGTCTGCCAACGCTACCTGCCAGAGTCCAGGTAGATACAGGGGGGATTGTAAATGAGTGCGAAAATGATGCGGTTCATTATCTGGAAAATATTCCCTGTTCTTATTACTGTTGATTGGGACGTAGTGCGTCATGATCAATGTCTACAGTATCAATAATGGTATCTGCATCGACATATGAATGATATTTGGCAGGCCACCCCAACCATTTTACTAGCCACTGTTTTCTACCAATTATCTTGCGCGTCTTGATTTTCTTCTCTATGTAAAATAGTGAATCCATGTTCTTATCAACTCTCTGCAATTCTGATTCATAAAAGTTACCTTTGATTACTTCGTTTAGAAAATCAATCAGCTGATATTGGGGAATACCTTGCAATAGATATCGTTTGTGTACCTTAAATATTTCTGATGACCACTGTTGTTGATAGGCACGCTTAAATAGTTGTTCTGCGTGAGATATTCGAACGAGACTTCCTATTTTGAATCCTTATTTGATCCTCTTTTTGATGGGGGGCTTAGCTGGTTTCTTTGATTGATGTTTCATCGGTTTCTTTCTTAAGCACAGATATGCAAAAATATCTGCCTGATTTTCTTTGATGACATTTTTAGGAGCTATACCATTTAAAGATATATGCGGTGTAGAATTGTAACTATCAACCAGTTTCTGTAGAATGTCAGTATATTTGTACGTTCTGTGCTATGTAAAGTATCGAAATAGCATGGTCTTAAACGTCCGTATGCACCTTTCGATTATATTTGCCTTCGTATCGTTTTGAGTGGTAAAATAATGAATGTGTTCAGTATCTTGATAGGTATTTTTACCAATCCCGCTAGATCGATCCATATATTTGCCAACCCCATCCTTGCAGTATTTCCTAAAGATCGCATTATTAAACTCTCCACCTTTGTCTGTCCGAAGTTTGTGAGGCACTCCACTTCTTTGGACAATTTTCTTGAAAGAGTTTAAAAATTATTTTGCCGTTTTGATTTTTAGAGGTTTAATCCATAGATGTCGACTGAAGTCGTCAATAACCATTAAGAGATATCGCACTCCCGAATTATGTTTGGATAGAGATGTCATGTCTGCCAAATCAGCATCGTACTGTTCATCTGGCCCGCCAACTTCAACACGTGCACGTTTAAATGAGCGCCTAACTGGTTTTTGTAAACTATAATCATCAAGACTCTGTATATATCTTCTGATCTTATATATGCCAAGTGTTTTAATACCTTGTGATGTCAATATTTGGTGGACCTTCACGGGACTGCGAAATGCACCACCATTCTCAAAATTATAATATACATCATCTATAAGTCGTCTCTCTTCCTCAGTCAACATATTTGAAAAAACTGAGACAAAAACATTTATGTACAAACTTTTATTAACATTGATACATATTACAACGTTTTGTGAAACCAATCTTTTACATGATTCATGGACATGACCATTATACTGACTTCGTCTTTCCATTTTTCTGTTGTAAGTTCATAACTTCTCCATTCGGCATTACATAATTGTGAAATGAAAGCATTTCTAGCACTTCTTTGGGTTTTAAAACGAACAGTCTCTTGAATAAAGTCACGAATCACTTTAATGTCATCCACTTGAATAAATGCATGCATTATATCAAACTGTCTTTCACTTATGATTTCTCGAACATGATATGCATATATTAGTTTTAATAAGTTATCCATTTTGAGGAATTCTGAGGAATTCCCGCAAGGAAAATTATCATTCATTTTGCGTTGCACGTTGATATATCCTATTCAAATTGGGCGGGTGAGCTAAAACACAATGACGATCAATACACTCCACAGACAAGTTTTTATTATCCCAATATTTCAGTGTATTTCCACACTTATAACAAGTAACTTAATCACCGACACCTTCGTGAAAAAATCCGTCTCTAGCCAGCTGATAAGGGGTCTGACGAAGTTTACAACTCCACTGGGAGAATGTCACCAACCGATCGGTACAGCTTGTCATGTATAGGTGAACTGGGCGGGTGATACCAGTGTTCATCTATAAGTAGAATGGATAGATACATTGCTAATATTCTTTCCCATAGTGCCACTGTCTTGTTTGTCTACAGTACATTCAATTATACGTCTACTATCTGTAAATCAAATGAATAGGCATGTCTGAACTTCACCGATTTTCTTCACGTATTTCTTTATTTTTTCGCTATAACTTTGTTTCACGTAGTTCTCGTTCCTCAAACGTTCGTCTTGCATGAGATGTTGTAATGTATTCGAAGGTATACAAGATTGAATGGAAACCTCGCACCAAGTCTTTTCCACTTCCAAATGATTTATAAATGTCAATGCTTCATCAAAATGTAGGTCTATAACAACAGCATTGGAATACCTCAGACATGTATGTTCATGTTGACTAGCTCGACGATTCTCACAAGCTAAACATACGAATAGTTCTGTTATTTTTGATTTTACAACGTATGCATAAGAGAGGCACAACAGATTTTTTAGTAGTCTCCCATAGGCCTTTTCTTCGGTTTTTTTAATCAAATAGTTTTGCAGTCTTTTATCTAGCAAGTCTGTGTTTAATTCCATTATTTAGTCATGCCCCCGGAATTTTTTGTATTCCTAAGTGTGAAATGGTGCATTCTAGTGCATTCTGGCCACTGAAAATCTGCCTTCACATCTTATTAAAATTTGTCTGTTTTATATGAATTTTGCATTAAAATTGACAGTACCAAAATTACTTGAAGCATTCTGGAAGTTTATACAAAGATGCTACAGTAATAAAAATGATTTTTTTTATGTGTGTAAATAATGCTTATTGTAAGACTTTGTATAGCTTTAGTATTCTTCAAATCAATTGTACATGGAATCATCAAATAAAAACCAAACTAGTAATTGACATTCAGAATGTTTTAATAAATCAAGGATGAATTCTAAAATGAAGAAAATGTACACATCATTCTTTCACTCACACACACCCACACACAACCACTAACACCCACATGTCAAACACACTCCAACATTCATTCATGTATCTTCGAACATTTTCACATAAGCACACTCTTAACACCAGATAAAACAATATTATAAATACTCTATCATAAGACCTCAATAAATACTCTCACAAGATCTCATTTAATTACATTCAGTCAGTCTCACATCATCTCAATGTATAACATATACTCTCACACAAGAAACCAATAAATATTTTAACAAGACTTCAATAAAATACTCTACACAAAACAATGAATATTTTAATAAGACCTCAATAAATACTCTTTCAAAGGACATCAATAGATATTTTAACAAGACCTTAATAAATACTCTACACAAGAAACCAATAAATATTTTTAAAAGACCTCAATAAAAACACTCTACACAAGACAACAATAAATATTTTAACAAGACCTCAATAATTACCCTATCACAGGATATCAAGAGATATCTTAACAAGACTTCAATAAATACTCTACACAAGAAACCAATAAAAAAATGTAAAAGACCTCAATAAAAACACTACACAAGACAACAATAAATATTTTAACAAGACCTCAATAAATACTCAACACAAGAAACCAATAAATATTTTAACAAGCCCTCAATAAATACTCTGCACAAAACAATGAATATCTTAACAAGACCTCAATAAATACTCTACACAAGAAACCAATAAATATAGTTTTTTAACAAGACCTCAATAAATACTCTACACAAAACAATGAATATTTTAACAGTTGAAGGAGTCCAGCATACAAGCTGATTCTGGCTGACATGAGGAGGTGTCTGATGTGTCAATGTCTGGTGTATCTGACGTACGTGACGTTCGACTTTCTTCGGGATGACATAAGGAAATTGTATATATGTTAAGCATGGATGGACACCCTCCGGGCCTCCTCTAATACTTCGAGTTTCAAGACGGCCTTATTTCTCAACTTTTAACGAGAAGTTTTTTCTTTGTGGATTGGAACGAATCTTTAATGAAGCCGTCTTCCTTACTGCACTATGATATATCTCTATATAAAACTCCGTAATATAAAACATTTCCATGCAGTGCAAAATCAAACAACTATATACCTCGGTACATGTACTGATCATACTGCATGTTAAAATAATCATATCATATCATAATCAAATTATCATAAATAATTTGTAATTTCGCTGTTACCAATGTATTTGTCATTAGTATGATATTTTTACTGTATAATTTTAATTTATGTGAGTCTGCAATGCATAATTATCTCGTCAGTTTGTGTAAAATGACAGAATGTGCATCTGTTCTGCAATTATGCTTATATGTATTCGGTTAAAAGCTGATTAGAGCTTATGTTTTGTCGTTTGCAACTATACCGAATTTAAATAAAGCTTTTATATCTGTAAATTCCGGAAATGTTTTGCCGGTATTGCCCATTTATTATACACCTATTGAGGATTTCCTGTTATTATTTCTGTGATTTTGACAATCTTACTGTAGGTGTCGTTTTCGATTATTTCTAACTGCTACACCGAAGGAATTTGGATCAATTAAGTTTCTTCATACACGCGTTCTTTTTTCATATATTTGCAGTGAAACTGTGATGAAGTGACACGGATTTTCGTAAAGTTATCGATCTTTAATCTAAAAATACTTGACTTGTGGCTCTCACGTCACAAATTGAGGTGCCGTGTGCCAAAGCTACGTTAAATAGGACGTGGAGATTGTGGCCTGTTCGACTATGATAACACATGCCATACTTCCTAAAATATGACAACCGAATTAAGAAGAGAAAGAAAATTAAGTATGTTATACATTTATTCATAAATGTTACAGATTCGTAAATCGTTGAACAATCTATTGTATTACAGGAGTTAGTTTCGTGTGTCTTGACAAGATCTTTGGAGATGACAAGTTGACAGTTAAAACTTCGTTAAGAATGTTAATACCAAATGGTATTCCCATGCTTTTGTGCAATCATATTCTTTATAAAATGGGACTTGAAGTGATTGATCTAATATATTGTGTAATATCTGAGAAAAACAATACCGGAATAAATCAATGTTCCTAGTATTACTTGCAAATTAGCATTGGTCGGTCAGTGTTGCACCCTTTGAAAGAGGCAGATATTTATGGGGATTTTTCTTTATTACATATGTATATAAGGTACAGATATAGAAAGTAGAAAACATTTGTATTGTTTGAAAGAAATTTAACATATGTGGGATGGTAATTGTGAGGTCAAAGGCTGGTACGTACATTTATTCGTTACAACAAAATTGATTTTGAGATAAAAGTGATAACATGATGTTATGCTCTTCAATTCAAAAGACATTATGATTTTTTTTTATCTGTATTCACTTAAATGTGTTTGTTGGAAGTACATGACTCTGATGTCTTTTAACCCACCTTATCATTTTTGACGTTATATATATATCGCATATTCCATATCATCTATTCGTTATCTCTTTTATTATTTTAACCCCCTTTTATTATTTTTTATTATCTACACATACAATGCAAATACTTTTAAGATGGACCATTTTATTTGATTTTATCTTCGCTATTCACATGTTTGTTAAAAAAGTAAAATAAATAAATAAATCACCATAGCCCTAAATGACCACAGCCGTCGATGGGCCGTTAAACATAAACAAACAAACAAAAACATGATAGAATAAATACATATATATGTTACATTTGGTAATCTCACCCTTTTGAGATTTATTAATTTGATATAACTCCTTCAACAGAGACTTTGCCTCAGGTATTGCAACAATAGTAAGATCTCAAGTGGTCTGAATACATGATAGAATGAACATGTATCCATTTGATAGTGCTTGGTCAGTTTATTAGTACATAGTGTAATTTACATTTATTTCCAGGCGAGGCAGAGGAGGATTACCTGACATGTGGAAGGTGTCAATGTGAATTTCCCCTCCAGAGGATTACCACCTTCATTGAGCACAAGAAGCAAGAATGTGATGGACCAGAGGCTGATGTTCAAAGCAAGAGCAGAGAGTCTGGTATGTACTGAACATGTAACATTGTCAAATACTTACTACCAATATGGCAGAAGTAACATTGCCAAGCATGACAAGTATGTCTACAATATTTATTATTCACAGACAACAAATAATACAAAATTCATCAAAAAACTATTACAAATACCTGATTCAGGAAATTTGTTTATTTTTAAATGTTCACTATCTACCAATATAATTGTTTGTATAACAAGACAACAAATTATTATTTAATAAATGATAAAAGCTATGATTCTTTTCCATGTGCATGTTTTGGAAAATTATTAATTGACTACATTATGGACTTCTTACATTTAAAGAAGTAATCCCTGTTTGATTTTGCTGAAATGACTTGTGTAGGGACAGCCTATACAATGATCTACATGAATCTTTGTTGTGTGTTCCAGGTTTGCAATGTGTATCCTGCCCTATGGCCTTTATGACAGCTGTGGGTATGTTGAAACATGTCCAATTCTCACACAATTTGCGTCTGTTCCTGGAAAAGGGTGCCTTCTCTAAGGGGATACAGGCCACAAGCTTTCCTAACAACCTACCACGTTTGTCAACTTCTACCTCGGCCCAGAACCAGCTTTCATCAGAAAAGAGGACAAGTCCAAACAGAAATACTGTGTTGGAGCAATTTACTACTACCCACACAAGTACCGTGTCACCAAGCTATCCTCAGGACAAGGGATCAAGATGTCCCCTGGCAGCCAAAACGCAAGAACATTGCCAGCCAAACCTATTACAGTTGCCCCTTTCTGATGTAACTAAGGCTAATCAAACAGAGACAAAGGCTTGGAATAATTCACCCAATAAATCTACTTCTATTTCACCAAACAGTCCAGCAAATCAATCCTTGAAACTATCCAGGAATAAAGCATTACATTCTACTTTGACATGGTCCCCTAACTCTGGCATGAACCGGTCACCGAAATCAACATCTATACAGACCTCTAGTGTGAACCAGTCACCGAAATCAGCATCTATACAGACACAGCCCACTGGAGTGAACCAGTCACAGAAATCAATATCTCTACAGTCCCAGCCCAGTAGCATGAATCAGTCGCAGAAATCAACATCTCAGCAGACACAGGCAGCTGGCATGAACCAGTCACAGAAAGTAACCTCACTGCAGACACAGTCGACAGGCATGAACCAATTACAGAAATCAACGTCTATACAGACACAGTCGACAGGTATGAACCAGTCACAGAAAGTAACCTCACTGCAGACACAGTCAACGGACATGAACCAGTTACAGAAATCAACTTCATTGCAGACACAGTCGACAGGTATAAACCAGTCACAGAAAGTAACCTCACTGCAGACACAGTCGACAGGCATGAACCAGTTACATAAACCAACTTCATTGCAGACACAGTCGACAGGTATAAACCAGTCAAAGAAAGTAACCTCACTGCAGACACAGTCGACAGGCATGAATCAATTACAGAAATCAGCGTCTATACAGACACAGTCTACAGGTATGAACCAGTCACAGAAAGTAACCTCACTGCAGACACAGTCAACGGACATGAACCAGTTACAGAAATCAACTTCATTGCAGACACAGTCGACAGGTATGAACAAGTCACAGAAAGTAACCTCACTGCAGACACAGTTGACGGACATGAACCAGTTACAGAAATCAACTTCATTGCAGACACAGTCGACAGGTATGAACCAGTCACAGAAATCAACCTCTCCGCAGACACAGTCTCATTCTTCAGTTCCAGTAAACTCCCAGCGAACCAACATCAGACAGAGTGCCACAAAACAGCCAATTCTGTTTCCTGTTACATCACATTCATCAGCCACACTTCCAAAAATCAACATTCCTGTGCATCTCCTGAATTCAGATGGCAGCACTCCTTCAGATACATCCGTGTTGGTTGGGCAGGATGTAGATGTTGGCCAGGTTGTACCCATTGTCCTCTTGTCTGGTCAGATGGTAGACATGGCTGCTAAGGGCTGCACATCAGCTCAGTGTTCAAATCTGCCCAGTGTCACCTCACAGGCCGTGGTCAGCAGTAAAAATACACACATACCAAGCATCACAACACAGTCAAAAGTCATCAGTACAAGTACACAAATACTCAGCATCAGCCCACAAGCCAACTTCCGTACACAAGTTACCAATCCCAGCACGCCAGTGTCCAGTGTGGGTAAACACAATTCTCAACTCCAATCTGTTAACACCATTCATTCTGACAATATTCCTGAGACGATGGAAGTGTCATCTGATGCTTCCCGCGAGAAGCAAAGCATGCCTAATGATAGACCAGAGATACTGGAGACCGACCAGTCGGTAGAGAAGGACACCTCTGTGATTAGGGAATCATTGATTGTTTCATTGACTGATCCCACAGAAAGTGTAAACAGTGATGTAATAATGACTGATCCCTCTACAGGTAACAGACCAGCTCCCGAATTACCTGATGGTGGCAAAACTACTGTACAACAAGTTCATGATTATGACTGTTCAATACATACTTCCCAGCAACTGAAGGATGACATTATGACTGCTACCCAAACTAGCAATAGAACTGTGATGGACAGTTGTAGTCAGACAGAGAAGTCATTGAAAAGAGATCCAGAGGGGATCCAAAAGTCCAGGGATGAAGCTTGCTGTGGGCGGCAGTGCTGTGGGGTGACTGTTATCCCTGGTACTCATGAAAATACACGAAAGTGCTGCAGCTCCGTACTACCAAAGAAACGAAAGCGCCACATGGAGACAAAGCATATGTCATACTCCTGGTCCCGATATAACCGACGCCGTCTGTACAGTGGGCTAGACAAGGCACGCAGTGGGGGAACTATTTACATTGATGTGGAGGACGTGAGGGATGATCCTCCAAGGTCACAAGTAAGGACAGGCGGCCAAGAGGGTTCAAAGATACAAGTGTCTGGTGATAAAGAAAGCTTTAAATTAGATACAAATGTTTCCTCATCTATGACAAGTTGTGGATCAGTTATTCTGCAACCTGGGGCAACATTTTCAATCCCTATCCCCTACAACACTGTATCTTCAGGGAATCGCCCACGTAACAGTGTTAACCCCATTCCAGGAGCACAAAGGAGGCTCCCTTCCATGCTCCCTCACTCCACAGACAGCCCATCCCAGTCTCTTGTCGATGCCAAAGACCCGAAATCACCTCCAGAATTTTCTGAGAACGCTGACAAACCTGTGACTTTTTCAGAGACACCTGGAATGTCAAACATTGATACAGGATCCGAAATCAGTTTGGACCCCAACTGTGCTTATTACCAGGGGAGGAAGAGGCGATATCCGACTTCCCGACCCTTTAAGTGTGAACAGTGTGACAATGCCTTTAACCAAAGGATCCACCTCAAAAAGCACATGAGTAAACACACAGGTAGGTGTTCCTGTAATTATAGTAAGGGATACAAGTAAACACACAGGTAGGTGTTCCTGTAATTATAGTAAGGGATACAAGTAAACACACAGGTAGGTGTTCCTGTAATTATATTAAGGGATATGAGTAAACACACAGGTAGGTGTTCCTGTAATTATAGTAAGGGATACAAGTAAACACACAGGTAGGTGTTCCTGTAATTATAGTAAGGGATACGTGTAAACACACAGGTAGGTGTTCCTGTAATTATTAGCTCACCTGGTCCAAAGGGTTCGTTATCCTTTCTCCCATTTTATTCTGATCAAAGGAATTGTATAAACACTGGAAAACAATAGAGGTGTCATTATAGTCTATCCTGTTATAGTACAGGTAGATTATTTACCTGTATTTACCTGTTCAGCAATAGGAAATACTGTGTTAGTTATAGGAATATTTAACAAATATATTTCCTGATTTTCGTAATATCTACTGGAATTATGAATAAACATATACAAGATTCCAGTTATTACTTAATAAAAACACATCAAAATACGTTAATTGAAAACCTGCTTTTATTAATTTCATATAAAATCAATTTTATACATTTTTACTATACATTTACATGTATGTAATATATATATTTCATAAATTAGAACTAAATTTAGCAAGCAATTTATGACAAATATAATCAGTAAAGACAGAGATCATGTATTACATCATTAAATATGCAAAAACAGATGCAAAGCTGGGAATGAAAATAAATAAAACAAAATTAATTACATGTACACATGGAACACTTATCACTGGTTGATCAAATCAATCATATTCATAAAATGCACACATGCACAAAGATACATGATATTCAACTAATATAATAGCACTAACTTTCTAAACGTGAAATATTGGAAAGTCCATAAAAAGCACAGATAATTAAAAATCCATAATTTTAAGAAATTCTAACAAAGCACCAAATAGAAATTCCATAACAAGCACATTTATCACAATGTCACTATAAATGCAAAAGATGGGATGCTGTGTCGGCGTACTGGATTACATCTGTTGTACCATTCTCCAAGCGTTCCTTTAGTTGGTTAAGGGGGCTGTTGATGTTACGGTAGCATTTTGCTCTTGGTCCTTATTATCAACTAGAAATATCAGTGGACCCAAGCCATATGGGGTTATCAAATAGAAACATAACTAATGATTATGTTTTAGGATAAAATAATCTAATGAGTGATACTAAGTTATTAATAAGTACACTGAAGATTCTCTGAAAATAAGGCTCCGATAAGAATTTGCTTCACCCTAAATTAAATCAATTTAAATTTAAATTTAAAAATTAAATTTTTTAATTAATCAAAGCATTATCATCTATAGATATACTGTTAAATATATAAAATATATAAAATATTTGTGCATTTCACATTATTGTTTTGTATTGATCTAGGTGATGAAAATGGTATATTATAAGGAAATAAATGTCTAAAAATGATGAAAATAGACTATATCAAAGCTACATGTATATGACAGGACTGTATATATGATACAGGTAATGTGGGAGAACACAGGTAAAAACCAGGTAAAATATATACGAAACAGACTGAAACTGCTATCACAACATTACTGCCTCTATGGGTTTTTAGGTCACCTGAGCTTTAGCTCAAGTGACCTATTGCTATCCGTTTTCGTCCGTCGTCGTCCGTCGTCCGTCGTCCGTCGTCCGTCGTCCGTCGTCCGTTAACATTTTACATTTCAAACTTAAAGTCAAGTTCTGCTGGGCCGATTGAACTGAAAGTTGGTAGGAATGATCGCCTCATGGTCCTGACAAAGTGTTGTTATTTTTCGGGTCGATCAGAAATCCAATATGGCCGCCACGGCCGCCATTTTGAAAACCTATTTCAAACTTAAAGTCAAGTTCTGCTGGACCGATTGAACTGAAAGTTGGTAGGAATGATCGCCTCATGGTCCTGACAAAGTGTTGTTATTTTTCGGGTCGATCAGAAATCCAATATGGCCGCCACGGCCGCCATTTTGAAAACCTATTTCAAACTTAAAGTCAAGTTCTGCTGGACCGATTGAACTGAAAGTTGGTAGGAATGATCGCCTCATGGTCCTGACAAAGTGTTGTTATTTTTCGGGTCGATCAGAAATCCAATATGGCCGCCACGGCCGCCATTTTGAAAACCTATTTCAAACTTAAAGTCAAGTTCTGCTGGACCGATTGAACTGAAAGTTGGTAGGAATGATCGCCTCATGGTCCTGACAAAGTGTTGTTATTTTTCGGGTCGATCAGAAATCCAATATGGCCGCCACGGCCGCCATTTTGAAAACCTATTTCAAACTTAAAGTCAAGTTCTGCTGGACCGATTGAACTGAAAGTTGGTAGGAATGATCGCCTCATGGTCCTGACAAAGTGTTGTTATTTTTCGGGTCAATCAGAAATACAATTTGGCTGCCATGGCCGCTATTTTGCTACTAAGTTCTAATAGGCCGATCTCACTTAAAATTGGTATAGGAATGATCAGCTCATGGTCCTGACAAAGTTAAGTTAACATTATACTATTTTTTACTCAAATTGGTACATATTTCAACAACAAAAATAAATACTGTAGACTCAGGTGACCGTTAAGGCCCATGGGCCTCTTGTTTAAAAAGTAGGAGAAAGGAGAACACACCGTCCAAAGGACCAAGGTGAGCATATGCCATACCGTGGCTTCCGTCGTCCGTACACACGTCAACAATTTCTTTAAACGACTTCTACTTCTTAACCACTGATTGGAATTCAACTAAATTTGACTGGAAGCATTCCTAGGTGGTGGGGATTCAAAATTGTACAAATGGTGGGACTGATCTCCCAGGGGGTTTAGGGGCGGGGCCAAAAGGGGTCAATTTGGCTATATTGCTACAAACGACTTCTTCTGTAGAACTGTGCACTGAATATCAATCATATTTGATCAAAAGCATTCATAGGAGGCAGGGATTCAAAATTGTACAAATATTGTGGCCGACCCAATACTTGGAAATGGTTGAGATCCCCACGGTATAACCATTTATACAATTGCTAAGTATAAAGAGAAGAATAAATGCACATTAGCTTCCAGGATGACCCAAGGGTCTGACCCCACCCTTGGAGACATAGTCCCTGGGTTATAACTTTGAAATGGTTGAGATCTCCACCCCAAAACTATATATACAAATGCTTAGTTTAAAGAGAGGATTGCAGTCATGATATTAGAATTGATCCTGGGGTCTGGCCACAACCCTAGGGACCTAGTTTCTGAGTCACAGCTTGAAAGCAGTTGAGATACCCACCCCATAACCATACATTAAATTGCTGAGCATGAAAAATCTAATACAGATATGCTACAAAGATTGGCCTTGGGGTCTGGCATATTTCCTTGGATCTCATTTGGAGAATATTTTGCCATGATTGCTTAGATATCCAGGTGAGCGATGCAGGCCCTCTGGGCCTCTTGTTTTTATTCAAGGTCACACAATCATTTTTTTTATTTCAAAAACTTCTCAAGCATATCAGGAGTAAACATAATATGTTAGCAATCAGACTTGTTGGAACTGTTGTTGCCTTTCTCGTTAAACGACTATGTTCATTAACAGGTATCAAGCCATACAAGTGTCAGCAATGTGATTACTCCACTGTAGAGCGGAGTCATCTCAAGGTACACATCCGTATACACACAGGTAAGTCAGAGATTTACAGATTTCAGAGAATTTTTTTATTATCACTCAGGCACACCATTGTGCGCAACAAGAGTACAATATAACAATGATATGGTTGACTGTAAAGCACTCATTTTACTATGCTAGTGTACAATAATATAGTGGAAACTGTTATACTCCTCATACAATGATAAACACAATATTACACTGTACTATCATATACCTTATTATAATAGACAATATAACGCACTACTCATACAATGACACTCATCATATACTGTGATATACATTATTACACTCATTTTACAATACTATTACGATGGTATAATACATAGCATTACATTCACACATACCGTGAGTTCACACAGTGGTATAGCAGGCACTGTTGCATCCATCTTACAGTACAATCCTACAATAATATTAATACAGTATTACACATATATTACTCGTACTCCATGATACATATATTATAGATAGTATACCACACCATACAGTGCAATCATACCATGGCATAATAGTGACTATCATACTCATCATACCATATAATATTACAAAGGTATAATAGACAGTGTTACAATCCCATCATACAATACTGTAATAGACAGATACAAAACAAACCATAATAAGCAAGCTGTAACCACACTTATTATGTAATACAATTATGTTAGGTTTAACAAAATGATCAGTAATATCTATATGTATATAAAAGTTTACAGTTTGATGTGTGAAATTCACATATTATTTTTAGCTCACCTGGCACGAAGTGCCAAGTGAGCTTATGCCGTGGCGCGGCGTCCGCCGTCCGTCATCGTCCCACAACTTTTCCTTTAAACAACTTCTTCTGAAGAACGGACAGGCCTAGAGTCATGATATTTGGCTAAAAGCTTCGTTGGTAGGAGCCCTACAAAGTTTGAAAACGAAAATGACCTTGACCTGTTTTAAAGGTCACAGGGGTCAAATATGTCAAAAACTTCAAACGACTTCTCCTGAAGAACTAAAAGGTATAGAATCTTCATATTTGGCTGATGGCTTCCTGGGATGGAGCCCAACAAAGTTTGAGAATGAAAATTACCTTGACCTACTTTCAAGGTTACAGGGGTCAAATGTGTCAAAAACTTCAAACGAATTCTTCTAAAGAATTAAAAGGTATAGAATCTTCATATTTGGCTGATGGCTTCCTGGGATGGAGCCCTACAAAGTTTGAGAATTAAAATTACCTTGACCTACTGTCAAGGTTACAGGGGTCAAATATGTCAAACACTTTAAACGACTTCTTCTGAAGAACTGGTAGTTATAAAATCTTAATATTTGGCAGGTGGCTTCGTGGGAAAGAGGCAAACAAAGTTTGCGAATGAAAATGACCTTGATCTACTTTCAAGGTCACAGGGGTCATATATGTCAAAAGCTTCAAATGACTTCTTCTGAAGAACTGGTAGTTATAAAATCTTAATATTTGGCAGGTGGCTTCGTGGGAAAGAGGCAAACAAAGTTTGCGAATGAAAATGACCTTGATCTACTTACAAGGTCACAGGGGTCATATATGTCAAAAGCTTCAAATGACTTCTTCTGAAGAACTGGTAGTTATAAAATCTTAATATTTGGCAGGTGGCTTCCTGGGAAAGAGCCAAACAAAGTTTGCGAATGAAAATGACCTTGACCTACTTTCAAGGTCACAGCGTTCAAATATGTCAAATAGTTCAAACAGCTTCTTCTGAATAATTAAAAGGCATAAAATTATAATATTTGGCTGGTGAATTCCTGGGATAGAGCTCACCAAAGTTTGCGAATGAAAATGACCTCAACCTACTTTAGAGGTCACAGAGGTCAACAACATTTTAATGGATTTGGTCTTGAGAACTAAAAGGAATGGATTCATAAGATTTGGCTGGTAGCTTTTTGGAATAGAGCTAACCAATTTGAGAAGGAAAATGACATTGACCTACTTACAAGATCACAGGGAAAAATATGTCAAGCAACTTCTGAAGAAGAATCAAAAAGCATAGAATCTTATAATATATTTTGCTGGTAGTTTCAACAGATGGAGCCAACAAAGTTTGCGAGGGAAATATTTATAGTGCAATATAATATTTAATGAAAATATTTTGCTATGACTGCTTAAATATTCAGGTGAGCTATACAGGCCCTCTTGGGCCTCTTGTTTTAATTGTCTTTCTAGTAATTGTATGAACAGTGATAGATTTGATAATATTCTAACATTACATATTGATATTAATCCTTTCATTTTATGGACAGATGGATTAGAGGTATAATAAATAGGTATATATAACATAGATAACAACTTAAGTTTTATTGCAATTAACTTTTAAGTTTCCAAATAGTACAGTAAGTTTCAAATTCACAGAAAGCATTCTGTAGACCTTTAGCTGTATCTGACATAACAACTGTGTCATCTGCATATAGCTGAATAAATAATTTAACAAATATACCCATGCGATCTTGAAATAAATTACAATATAATGGAGTTGGTCAACATTATTTTGCATTAAAAATTCTACTAAATCATTTAAATATATTGAGAACAAAAATGGGGAGAGATTTTCACATTGTTTTACCCCGACGTGACATGTGAAAAAATCAGTCATACTATTGCTAGTTTTTACGCAAGATTTAGTGTTTGCATACAGATTAATTATAGCATAAAATATCTTTCCTGTGATATTATTCTTTAATTATTTATTCCATAAACCTACTCTCCAAACAGTATCAAACGCTTTTCTGAAATTTATGAATGAACAGAATAGTCAGCTAAGGTAAATACTCTCACCTAGTTACCTCTATTGATATACATAATGTAGGTCAACACAGGTATGTCCTTAATACAGGAGAGTTACTTAATGTGAACATATCAACTGACAAACACTTAGGTACCAAATGTTGATAGTGAAACTGAAAACAATGCTAAACTATTTTTTATGTGAAAGGGAAACTAATATTAAGCTACCTAAACACAGTGATAACTTCCTCAGTTAGACTAATTAAATAAGCTACTGTAAGTTCACAATTTTATGATTTCAAGAAAAAATGTTGCATAAATATGTACACTTGGGAGTGGTAGTGTAAATGTATGTTATGTTTGATGTGTGTTTTACAGGTGAGAAGCCATTTAAGTGTAAATGTATGTTATGTTTGATGTGTGTTTTACAGGTGAGAAGCCATTTAAGTGTACATACTGTGAGTATGCCACCGCCCAGAACAGCACTCTTAAGATTCACCTGAAACGCCACCATGGCAGCCAGCTGCTGGAATGCCCAACCTGTGCCAAGTCCTTCACTCAGCATGACATGTACCAAGTTCACCAGCAGGAACACCAAGGAGATGATCTTACTGACAGCAGTCTGGGCCTGGATCAAGGTCCAAATAGTGAAAGCTTAAGACAGGATATAGGGCAAGGTGACCTTCAGTCAGTGCTAGCTGATGTCAATCCAAAGGAGGAAGTGTCTGACCCATCTGATACTGAACCAATGACTGTTATAGCTAGAGAACAGGTTGAAATGTGATTGCTATAGCTAAAGAACAGGCCGAGAGGTAACTGTTATAGCTAGAGAACAGGTTGAGTTGTGACTGCTATAGCTAGAGAACAGGCTGAGTTGTGACTGCTATAGCTAGAGAACAGGCCGATTGGTGACTGTTATGGCTAGAGAACAGGCTGAGTGGTGACTGTTATAGCTAGAGAACAGGCCGAGTGGTGACTGTTATAGCTAGAGAACAGGCCGAGTGGTGACTGTTATAGCTAGAGAACAGGCCGAGAGGTAACTGTTATAGCTAGAGAACAGGCCGAGTGGTGACTGTTATGGATAGAGAACAGGCCGAGTGGTGACTGTTAAAGCTAGAGAACAGGCCAAGTGGTGACAGTTATAGCTAGAGAACAGGCCGAGTGGTGACTGTTATAGCTAGAGAACAGGCCGAGAGGTGACTGTTATAGCTAGAGAACAGGCCGGGTGGCGACTGTTATAGCTAGAGAACAGGCCGATAGGTGACTGTTATAGCTAGAGAACAGGCCAGGTGGCGACTGTTATAGCTAGAGAACAGGCCAATAGGTGACTGTTATAGCTAGAGAACAGGCTGAGTGGTGACTGCTTTAGCTAGAGAACAGGCCAGGTGGTGAGATCAATAAACATTACAGCTTGTAAAAGTTAAATTCTGTGAATGATCAGCAAATGATCCAACAATTTTAATGGTATGTTAAAGAATGTACGTTGTAAATGTACTACCGATACTGTGTAACACTGTATAAGATATATACTGTCTGTAACCTTATAAGACACGAACTCCCAGTCCCCATATGTGACAGTATTACTGAAATATATAACCGTCACTGTATACTTGAAAATTTTCGCAACAGTTGGATTTTACTGCTGAGGGGTGAAAGTTTCACTGTATGCATGGTACGTACCAAAAGACTGTCTTTGTGATCTATACAGAGCTAACACTAATTATACTGTTTGATTCATTGATAGAATTTAATTTGAACTGATAATGCATTTGTAGTTTTAAAGATATTTATTTTATTTTAGTTTGTGCTCAAATTATGTTTCAACATGTCTGTATAGACAATGACTGTTACAAATGTCAACTATTTATTTATTTATTTATTTGAGTTTCTTCTGTGATGCTTTTCTCCCATTGGGTATTCTGTTACCTGTATGGGTTGTATGTGGTGATCTACCATGTTTCATGTGTATTCTCACAATTTAATTTATAAAATGAAACAAAGTTTTAATTACTAGACTGCCAAAATCAACACAATGATAATTCATATGATTTCTGTTCTATTTTTCTTTTTCTTCTCATGTGCCAAAGTTGTATGAGATTTGTTTGAATTTGTAGGTGATTTAAAACTGGTGAAGTATTTGCTGCTGAAAATTGTACAAAGATGATTCATATTACTATAACGTCACTTTTTATCTTTTTCAGGCCCTCACCATTTTATTGGGTGGGGGTGATATAACACGACCCTTGTCCGTCTTGCTGTGTCCCCTTGTATCAGATTCAATTTCTCTGTCACTACTCTACTAAATTCTTACCAGATTTTATACAGCTTCATTTGTGGACTGGTTTTGATCAATCTTTATACAAAGGTCAAGTATGAGAATACTTGGAACCGAGTGGGTATTTAAGAACCAGAGGTCAAGGTCATTCTTACTATTTATGGAAATTTATATAAAAAATGACACTAATTTGTATTGGAGTACTCTTGCTTTTCATCATGACAGAGGTTTTATAAAGGAAGTTCCAAGGTGCCCCTCGTGTAACACGAGTGACTTTGAAGCATCACAACGGACAGTTGGAGATTTTGACAGATCAAAATAGGCTAGAGTTGGTGTTGTTGACAATCTTATAATTATTTTAAAACCTATGCTTGTGGCGTGACCACACAAAGTCAATGTCGCTTCTCAGCAGTTTCCCGAGTGGCTCAGTGGTGTCTGACATGTTGGGTATGAACTTAAATTTACTTTGCCAAATAGTAAAGAATATCCAAAGTCTCTCTACTTATGCTTTGCCTCAACTTTGCTTGGGTCAGGCTGAACTTCTACTGCTGTTAATTAACTTGTGTTCTCTTTTGATAGCTTGGTTGAGGTTTTTTGCATTTAGACTAACTCAGAGTTTCCCCATTTACTTTTCCTCAAGGACAAGCGAGTTAACCAAATCATTAGGGTGATCAATCCTCCTGATGACATTCTTTCATTCCATCTCATCAAGTGCTACATTGCGATTTCCACGGAGAGTGGCTTGGACTATGCTCGGCGGGCTGACCACTGGTCTGACAGTCGTGTCCACACTGATCTTGTATGACTTACCGATAAGCATCCCAATCCTTGAAATACACTTCAATAGGCTTCAGTTGGATTTTTGGGTAGGAGTTAGTACTACCTGAATGATGCCAAGGTCCTGTGATGACTTGAATCCTAGTAGCAGAACTTAGTGTCTGTTATATAGAACTCGATCCAATTTCCTTTCACCTCCAGTTTTGCTGTTCTTGTCACCATTGTAGCTTGTGAGCATTGCCTGGGGTCTACCCAATGTTGGTTTTGGTTTCATTTTGCTTATAAGATTTATTGGGAAGATATTTGTTTGTGAGCCTGTGTCAACTTTGAATTTGATACTCTCGTTTCCGATACTCATGTTGACATATACCTCATGATCATCTGTCCCAAGTTCTGTTTTTGCGTATCCTCCATTTTTTTTTAAAGATCCGATGAACAGTTCTTCAAATACTCTTAATTTTCCATCTCGAGGTTAACATTATTGATTCCATGATTTGGGTTTTGTTGTTGAGGTGTACATGTGCTCATTGACCTGCAGCATTTCATGACATGGTTGAGTTTGTGTCACTTCATGCCTTTTGTTCCTATATGCTGGACAGTTACCTTTCTTCGTGTTTTGTTCCACATTTGCCACATATTGCAATATACTCTCTTGACAGGGTTTTGAGAGTCCTCTGGCGCTGTGTGTGTAATTTTATTTAATATCTTGTCAAAATTTCTGCTTAAAAACACTGCAGCTTCTTCATGATCCAAGTTTCCCATCCTGTGGGAGATCTCTTCACTGGCTCAACAAATTAAATCGCTTTCCAAAGTGTTAATTCCCCATCTCATAACAGGCATTCCTTTAACTTCTCATTGTTTACGCCACAAACAATTTTATCTCATATGAGTTGATCTCTTAACCTGCATTTTTATGCCAGAGAGCATAGTTCTGTTACAAACTGGTCTATGCTTTCACCTTTTTCCTGTGTCTTGGTGTTGACACGATGTCGCCAAACTATTGTATTATCATTAGGTTGGTAATCAATAATACTTAATAGTCCATGAATTTTTTAAATAGAATGCCAATTTGTTTACTTGATTGTCTTCAAACGTCATCATATTCTAAACGTCTTGCCCATTCTGGCCTAATATACTGTGACCTACTTCAAGGTCACAGGGGTCAAATATGTCAAAAAGTTCAAACAACTTCTTCTGAAGAATTAAAAGGTATAGAATCTTCATATTTGGTTGATGGCTTCCTGGGATAGAGCCCAACAAAGTTTGAGAATGAAAACTAGTTTGACCTACTTTCAAGGTCACAGGGGTCAAATATGTCAAATGCTTCAAACGACTTCTTCTGAAGAAGTGAAAGGTATAGAATCTTTATTTTTCATTGATGGCCTCCTCGGATAGAGCCCGACAAAGTTTGAGAATGAAAATGACCTTGACCTTCTTTCAAGGTTATAGGGGTCAAATGTGTCAAACACTTGAAACAACTTCTTCTGAAGAACTTAAAGGTATATAATCTTTATATTTGGCTGGTGGCTTGCGAGGATAGGGCCCTACAAAGTTTGAGAATGAAAATTAGTTTGACCTTCTTTCAAGGTCACAGGGGTCAAATATGTCAAATGCTTCAAACGACTTCTTCTGAAGAAGTGAAAGGTATAGAATCTTTATATTTGATTGATGGCTTCCTTGGATAGAGCCAAACAAAGTTTGTGAATGAAATCGACCTTGACTTAAGCTACCATGAAAGTATGTTAAAGATACCCGCTTTGCTTCTGAATAAAATTCACACGACTTGACACAGTTCTCTGAAGCGTAGGATGAAGTGCTCGATTTATGTCCGCCATATTTAACATGCTAAGGACCGTTCTCAAATATTGGCCCATTCTCAGCTTTAAATCTAAGAATTGAGAATTACGAATTTTGTAGATAGTCAAAAGTTGAGCATATGCTTAAAGTTAAGCATATACTCAGAGTTGCCAATACCCTCTATATATATACTATCCCTGTTCAGACGAAGTCATGGCGAATGATGGTGAGCAGACGGACACATCGAGTCCCATACAGTATTTAGTACTACGAATAGAGGTGGTGACGGAACTGCGAGTGCATAGAATTTATAACTCGTTATTTAGTAAGTGTTTGTCATGTTGCAAATATTTAAAGTTGGCGGTAACAGCACACATAGACATTCGATGTGGAGTTGGAATGCCGAGCTCCGTTAACCTTCGTCTTATCGCACACAGCACAGCTGTCAGATGTGATAACAGAAAGGATCTGCCTCTGTATGTCTTTAGTGGTCCATATACATCATTGATTAGGCCTACCATGAAAGTATGTTAAAGATACCCACTTTGCTTCTGAATAAAATTCACACGACTTGACACAGTTCTCTGAAGCGTAGGATGAAGTGCTCGATTTATGTCCGCCATATTTAACATGCTAAGGACCGTTCTCAAATATTGGCCCATTCTCAGCTTTAAATCTAAGAATTGAGAATTACGAATTTTGTAGATAGTCAAAAGTTGAGCATATGCTTAAAGTTAAGCATATACTCATAGTTAAGCATTGAGAACGGAGTTAAGAAGTTTCGTGCAAGCGGGGCCAGATTACTTTAGTCTGTTTGTGTATGTTGTTTATTGGCTAGTTTATCGACTAGATCAACCTACCACATGAGTGTAACGCGAGTGTTTTTTCTCGTTCTCATCTGTTTTGTGTTTGTCGCATAAGCACATAATATATATTATAAAATGACTGCTTTATCAAGCAGGCAATTCTATGGAAATCCTGGTTATGGTGATATTGTTTTCCTCAATCGCCTGAAATCCTGGTTATGGTGATATTGTTTTCCTCAATCCCCTGAAATCCCGAAGAGAAAATGTCTCCAAATCATACCATCCTCCTCTCCTACACATGACTTGTACTAGAAATCTTCAGATTATATGTCATTGTCAAAATAAATCATTGATACAAAACAAACATTTTTCTTTCTTATATTTTAAAACAAAAATAATGCATAGAGCTAACTCAATATGCTCTACAGACCGTGAATAAAATTAAATGAACTGTAAATACAAGTACATGAAGGACTATATGAATGATTCAAGCGGAAAAGTAATATTGGACCAAATTATCTTTCAAAAAAGATTAGTTTGTAAATGTTAAACTGAAATAAAGTACATAACAAAGGTTTCGTTTATATACTGTAGTGAATGGAATGTCTGCTACAGTAGTTCAAAAAAAGGTAGTCTGAAGGCTGCATTGATCAGCCACGGATTATGATCACTTTGATTAAAGTTTTTCCAACTGTGACTTCTCTCAAAGTAATCAGTGGAATATCATCACACAAGCTACAGCTACTAAAGCTGAGGTCAGCTTTTAACAAAGTTCAAGGTCATTTGATGGAGGTTTATTGAAACGTGAGCATTACAATGTTTTAGTGTTTGTCCTTCTATTTGCATATCGCACATTCTTGTTTTGAATGTATAACTGTTCCCTTTTAAGAAAAAAGTACACCGATTTGCCCGAAGTCCAAATTACAGCAAAAGGTCAAATGTCAAATCATTGTAATTCGTGTTAGACAAATTTTTTTCTGAATTACCCATTTTTAGCCCACCATCATCAGATGGTGGGCTATTCAAATCACCCTGGAGCTGTGGTCCGTCGTCCGTCCGTAAACAATTCTTGTTATCGGTATTTCTCAAGAAGTACCAGAGGGATCTTTCTCAAATTTTATATGTAGGTTCCCCTTGGTCCTGAGCTGTGCAGGGCAACTTTTGAGACTGATCGGATAAACAACATGGCCGACAGGCAGCCATCTTGGATTTTGATA